ATATTTTCAGGAGGGACCAGTTGCTGGAGAAGGATATAATGTTTGGTAAGGTGGAGGATCAGAGAAAAAGAGGAAGACCCCCAACGAGATGGATTGGCCAAGTGGCAGCATCAATGGGCTCAAGCATGGCCACAATTGTGAGGTTGGCCCATGACCGGGCAGTGTTTCGTTCAGTTGTTCAGGGGGTCACTGTGAGTCGGTACCTACTCGATGGCACCTAACAACAGCAACAACATGAACCTAACATGGACTCTGGTGTCGTGCTGTAGGATTAGCACTGGACTGTGAACCACAAGGTTGGTAGTTCAAATCTACCAGCTGTTCCTCAGAAACCGTATACGGGGTTACTATGAGTCAGAACCAGCTCTAAGGTACTTAACAAAGGCATAGAAACCTAACATAGTTGTTACCAAAGAATTGTTGTGTGTCATTGTGTATGTTTCAATGCATGGTGATCCCATGTGACAAAGTAGAACTGCCCCTTTGGGTTTTGTAGGCTGTAATCTTTATGGAAGGAGTTGTGTTGGCACAGTAGTTAAGCATTCAGATGCTAATCTAAATTAGGTCAATGATTCAAACCTGCCAGCTGCTTCATGGGAGAAAGATGTGGCAGACTGCTTCCATAAAGATTTCAATCTGGGAAATTATGGCGCGCATCTGCTCTTTCCTGTAAGGTTGCTACGAATCGTCCTGACTCGGTGGTGGAAATAGGTTTGGTAATCTTTATGGGAATGGATGACCAGGTCTTTTTCCCAACCATGTGGACCTGTTGGTAGGTTTGACCCACCAACCTTTTAGTTAGCAGTGGAGTGCTTTTATCATTGTGCCACCAGGGCTCCTTTAACAAAGAATAGATATTTACAAAACATGTTGGGTCATTACATTTATAACCTTCAAATACTTTTAAATGATTGTAGGGATTAATCGGTTTAGAACTCATAACTGCAAACGTTTGAAAGTCTTTCTTTTATTAAAGGTATAATGAATGTCACTTAAATTAACCACTACTCTTTTTTCAAAAATAAATAAAAAAAATCAACTTTATTTTTCAGAAAAAGATTTCCAGTAGATGGCATTATCAGACTGTTTTTAAATGTTTCTTCTCATTCCTTTTCCTGGTAGAATTAAAATTTTTTTCTGATTACATCTATATGACATTGTAGGATAAGCACTGGATTGCGAATCATAAGGCCAGCTGTTCAAACCCACCAGCCCCTCCTTGGAAACCCCATACAGGATTGCTATATTTGGAATTGACTCGACTGCACTTAAAACAGAATGTTATTTCATGGACAGATTAGCTGTAAGAAATTCACACTTAGCACATATGTAGGACTTCTGAGGAGTGGTGTGGTGCTGTAGAATAAACATTGGACTGCTACCACAAGGTCAGTGGAATCCACTGGAATCCACCAGTCACTCCTGTGAAACCCTATACAGGGTTGCTATGAGTCTGAACCAACTGGGCAGCACTTAACCACAACAGGACTTCTGAGTGCCATTGTCCCCAAGATAACCAATCAAGCTACTGCACTAGCTCCTACCCTTTTCTTTAGCATTTTTCCATCCATCCAAAGAATCCAGCAGGAAAATCTATTATGTTGAGGCACTAAGTTAGTGTCAGATGGTATGTTAGTAAAACAAGACCCGGGTGGATTTCTTCTCTCAGTTTCACACCGACTCTGAGCATTAGGACAGATGATTTGAGTTGTTTGCCCAGGTGAAGAGCTGGTGTCTGGAGCAAGACTTCCTAATTCATCAGCTACCTGTTATCTGGGACAAAGTACCTCATCCCTCTTTGCCTTAGTTCCTCGACTGTAAAATGGGGATAATAGTCATACCTATCTCATCGGGGTGTTGTGATGATCTCCTAAGTGAGACCCCTGAAGCATTAGTACATGGCTCAACAAATGTGAAGCTGTTCTTGTGTGTACTATGAGTATTACCATGGTGATATTTTGCTCAAGACCAGATATTTTGTTGTTGTTTGTTATTATGTGCCATTGAGTTGATCCGATTCATAGTGACTCAATATAGGGCTTTCAATGAGCCGCTGGTGGGTTTGAACTGCTGACCTTATGTTTAGCAGTCCAGTGCTTATCCTGCAGTGCCTCACTGGGACTCCATAGGCAGCATGGATTGTGTACAGTTGTATGACATATGTATCTATGATCATCAGTCATTAGCCTGCCATACCTGATCTGCCTGAAAAGCTGAGATTGTGAAAGACAGTAAGCACTCAAGACAATAAGCACTGTGATTGTGGTTTCATTCATTCTTCACAGGTGGTGTATTTAGTTGTAATGACTTCTTGTCGTGTGTGTGTGTGTGTGTGTGTGTGTGTGTGTGTTTCTGTTGTTAATACTGTTTGCTAAACACCAGCATTATTCAGGTTCCCTGTACAGCTGGGCTGACTGGGTTCTTGCTTTTTAAGTCCAGCAGTTGCATTGAAGCTTCAAGTGCAGTGGTGTTAGATAAGGTTCATCTTTCTCATTCGGTTCATGGCCTTCCTGGCTCAGGTAGGAAACACGTGTGCAGAATGAGCCGGCAGGAAGGCATTGCGGACCTGACCCCTCTCTTCTTATTGCAGATTCCACTGTGTAAAGTCATTAGATTCAACATCGACTACACGATTCATTTCATTGAAGAGATGATGCCTGAGGTAAGGGAAAAGATTATTTAACAGCTATGATGTGTGCTCTTTTGTTGATTCCACACATATTTTTAAAGAATTGGACTTGGTCAGCTCTGGCTGTTTGCCAGTCGAATACCCCTCACGTATCATGTTCACTGTTGAAAGGGTCAGTGAGATGTAGCTCTCATATCAAGGTTAAATTTCAAGCCATTTTTAACTCACTGACCTGTTTTTGAACCCATCTTTCCTTGTGGTGCATCTGCTGATAATAGCTTTACATCTGTTTCTAGTTTGTTTTGCGTCGGGGACAGATTTTGGGTGCTGGTCATTACCAGACAGGAAATTAGATGAGGGAAATGGAATCTGATAGCTGTTGGAATAATCATATGCATTATCTCCAAAGACAAGATCAATGCGTGGTTCATTATTCTTCCCATATATTTACATATTTCTCCTAATTGTTTTTCATTGTGAATGCTCAGCAGCAGATTTATCTAAATACATGCAAGAGATTTAAAATTCCAAAGTAAGATTAATGTGAATCTCAGAATGATTCATTGCCTGATCCTGAAGTTAGTGGTGTCAACAAATCACACCAAGAAATAACAACCAGACAGCCGACAAGACTGCGCACTTAACATTGTGGTAGAGCTGGGGTCGATTTCCTGAGCCCTTGGCTTCTCTTGCAAACCTTGTTTAACAGAGCGCCTCTGTCACGGGCTTTGGAGCACTGAGGGGAATTGATGGGGATAGCATGCCTGCTTAGTTTGTACCTATTTCATTCTGAGCAAGTCCTGTTAATTCAACCTGCCTTTCAGAAAGAAAGAACACGGGGCCGCCCCTTCATTCTCCATTGTACCAAGGGCTTTTCTGCTTCCTTTGGATTTCTGAGGTCATAAGCCTTCATTTGCTATCGTAAAAGTTTACTACTTGTGCTGTGTACTCCACAGGGTGATTTATGAACCCGGAGCAAAACAGGTAGAAGAGCTATGAGACAGGTCTCGTTTGCACATACATCATCTTCGAAGCTTGTTTTACGGGAGAAATTTTGATACAAAGTTTTGTAGTTTCTCATAGCACTTTATTTGCTTTTATTGAGGACTTTTAACATTTTTGGTACGAAGGACTTTTGATGTATGGTAACTCTGTCACAGTGATTCTGGGTGTATGAGGGAACTTCAAAAAGTTCTTGGAAAAATGGAATGATAGGATAATGTAATTTTTCCATGAACTTTTTGAAGCCCCCTCGTATTTGGTGTGTCTATGTGGGGGATGGGCAGGAAGGTTGAGACGGGCCTATTAGAGGTGTGTGCGGTGTCGGCTTACCCAATAAGCAAGGTAAGCAAGGGTTTACTTGTGCTTACTTACTAATCTGTAGTGAGCAACTTTACAGTTTTTCACCTCATGAAGGATTTGCTTTTTGGCGTAACTGGCATTGGTCTTTCCCAGTCACACAGAACCTTTCTACAGAATCAAATCCTCTTTTCAAATTTACAATCCCTGGTAGGGGCGGAGTAGCTGGTAATAAGCAGTATACGAACAGGCTTACTTATTAGTCTACCCAGCATCGTGGGTAATGAATGGTCAGCAGTTTGACTCTAGCAGTGGGAGAATAATGAGGCTTTCTGCTGATGTAAAGGTTTACAGCCTCAGAAACCCTAGACAGGGTCACTAGAAGTTAGAACTGACTCCATGGCACACAACCACCGCCACTTATTAATCTTTAGTGAACTAATAGATCAGTAAGTAAGCAAAAGTAAGTGCTTGCTTCCCTTGGTTATTGAGTACTCCACCCACGGGTATATATATGTGTGTGTGTGTGTGTGTGTGTGTGTGTGTGTGTGTGTGTGTATGATTTGAATGAACCAAGTGTCCCCAGGGAGATGTACTTCATAATTGGGTTAGAAAAAAATATATAAGTGAGACTTTGAAAAGTGCCCATCATTTTCTTAGACTGTTGGGAAGGCTTGAGCTGACATTTTCATAGCCACCCTAATGACATTCCTGCCTACATAAAGTTGGGGACAGTGTTCACTTCTGCCAGAAATCAGTTAGCTGTTGTTAGGATGGGACCAAACTTTTAGGAAACTTTAGTAGTTTTAGCAGGATTTCAACTGACACTTTAAAAGATACTTGACTAGAATAAAATGAGCCTTCAGTTAATACATAGATGCAGCATGACATTAATTTGACTTTGGCTTATTTTTCAGAATTTTTGTGTGAGAGGACTCGAACTCTTTTCGTTGTTCCTCTTCAGAGATATTTTGGAATTGTATGACTGGAATCTTAAAGGTAAATAACATGATTTAGAGAAAAAAAAGTGATAATATCAGAAGAAAGTCACAGGTTGTGTTAAAAGTGTAATATAATTGAACTTCCTTTTATTTTCTTAATTATCAGGGGAAGTGTGTGTTATTCATAGAAAGCCTTGCTGTCATCACTAAGACTTATGGGTCTGCAAATTTTCATTATTACCGAGGAAGATGACATTTCTTATTTTGGGTAGCTACCTTGACTTGTGTGCATTAGGAAACAGCTCATCAATGAATACTTTGAATCTAGTGAGCCTCAGTAAATTTCTTTCAAAATGACAGATTGTTAAAACAGAGAACTCTCCACCATGCCATTAAAACACACATGCACACGCACGACTTCTGGATCTGGAATAATCGCTTGCTTTTTCGGAAGCAAGTATTTATTTTTAAGACAATGTATTGATGAATGAGTTTGCAAACCAAGTTTCTGCATTTTTCCAGTATAGCCATTAAAATGGGGAGGGATTAAAACACAAGTGAAGTATGTTACGCAGTATTTCAACTCTATAAAAACCTTTCTTACTTTTAGAATAGTTTTGGAATTTTACTGTGCATACCATGAAGCTTCAAAATGTTCATGGAGAAATTCCATTATCTTTTAACTCCATTTTTCCGTGAACTTTTTGAAGCCCCCTTGTATTTTGAGACTGCAGCCTGGGACTGTCATTCTCTGGCATTGTGATTGTCACTGGATGCTGTGGCAGTTACCACATGATTGATTTAGCTGTTGAGGAAAGGGAGGGACATTTTCCTCTCCTCGCTTCTGTGGTAGTGTTGTAGTTATCATAAATTTTATGAATTAGGTTGCAGTGTTTGTTTTCTAAGGTGCTGTCTTTTATTTATTTGTTTTTTGTTCTGTTCATTTGTCTGCTGTAGGTCCTTTGTTTGAAGACAGCCCTCCCTGCTGCCCAAGATTTCATTTCATGCCACGTTTTGTAAGATTTCTTCCAGGTAAATCTTTTGGGTTGTCAGTGATCTGGGGAGATAGCGTATTTGGAAATAGGCCTGCCGCTCGTCTTTCAATCTTTAGAAACACCGTTCCCACTCCAGACACTTAATTATCCACTTTTCACGTTGGCCACAGAAATGTAAAATTATACATGCTCATCTACACCCCAGTATAATTTATGGTAGTCCTAACTTAGATGAGCTGTGGGCGATTTAATTTATAAATTTTGAAAATCTAGTTGATAAAATTCCACGCTAAGTATTGAAATTAAAATGGAAAAATGCATATGGTTTTAAAAATGCACATGGTTAATTAGAGAATTATTCATATACAATTTTACATATGGTTGTAACTATGCTTAAAATGATTGCAATAGTGATTGTATTAGGGTGGTGAGATTTTAGGTAATTTTCTAATATTTGGTCATGTGCTTATATTTATTTTATAATGAAAAAATACATAATTATTCTTCCACTAAATTAAAATGCATTGTAAGGGTTTAAAAGTGAGATCTGACATTATATTTGAAGTTTTAAAAAGTGGTTAGATTTTGACTGAAATCTCTTAGATGCCTTTTCACTTACAAAATCTTCTTTGAGGCTCCTGCCATTCTCTTTGTTTTAATTTTCTGGGCCTGCCATCACAAAGTATCTGAAAGCAGATGGCTTTAAAGAACAGCAATGTCTGACAGTTTGGGAGGCTAGAAGGCTGAAATCCGGGCGTCAGCAGGGCCACACTGTCTGCTCCCAGAGAAGACCCTTCCTGGTCCCTTCTAGTCTGGAGCCCTGGGCATTTCTTGCTGTCCCTTGGCTTGCTGCTGCTTCTGGTCTTCTCTTTTGTGTCACTGCCCATGTCTGTTCTATCTTATAAGACACAATTCAGAAGGGATTAGTGTGTCATCCTTAGTGGATAACATTTGCAAAGAAAACCCCCTTTTCCCCAAACAAGGTCACATTCACAGCTATAGGGGGTTAGGTCTTCAGCATAACTATTTGAGGGACACAGTTCAGTCCATGACACAATTCTCACTCTTTCTTACTGTCCAACTTCCTGACCAGTTACCTGCTTTATCTAGTGCTACCAACCAAGCCTCTCAGTAAAGGTCAGTTGCCAATCTAGTGGACCCTATTTACCATTCTAGCTTGAGCCTTAAGATTTCTTGACTTGTTCTCTTAAATTCTCTAATTGCCACATCTTGGCCTCCTAATCCCAAGATAAAACCATGGTCCATGTCATTACTCCAGACGAATTGATTCCAAGAATCTCATTCCAGTCGCACACTTTCTGACGACTTCTTCTGTACTTCCGCCAGCCCGCTCATGTCCTAATTGTCTTCGCGTCTACTTGAATCTTCTCTTTTCCCTAGTTCGTCCCTTTCTTTGTTTTCTACTTATGTCCTGTGCTCTGACTTTAGTCAGCTTTAGCTACCTCAGCCCTTTGTGCATCCTCTCCCTTTCCATGTGTGTCATCAATCCAACCATATGCCTTTTCTCTTACATGTTGGCCACTCAATGATACTGAAGAAAAATTCTAGCTACTGCTCTGAATCTGTGCTCTCATGCTTACCTGGGTAGTTTTCTGCATGTATGCTGGCTTTCTGCCCAATTCTACATGTCATGAGTTTCAGAAATTCAGCCCTCTGTTCATGCTTTCCTTATCATGGCTCATATCCTGTGCCTGAGAACCCACCTTTGCACTAGCATCAAGCTCTTGTTTCTCCAAGTGCTCTGGTTCCTTTCACATCCAAATTTTGTTTCAGTGCTTGGCAGTTTTTCCTCCCCTTTCCCTACCCTGCTCCTGATACTACACCAAGGTCATCTACTGAAAACCAAAGCCAGCAGACAAGCTTCAGTTTATGCCCTCTCCCTCTCGTGGTGTCTGGCCTGTTGACCTTGTCTTTCTTCTTGGCTGTCCTTGCTTTCATCCTAGCTCTGTGATTCATCCTTTCTAGCTTTTTGTTTCTGGTTTACTTAGTCTAGGGTAGATTTTTCTTATGATTTTGTCCTTGACATTTTTTTTTCCCCCCTCAGTTCAGTCTCAGTGGTTTATTTATTTATTTATTTAATTTTTTTATTGTTATTAAGCTTGTATTTTTAAAG